CGCGTGGGTCCGTTCAGTAGCCATGACAATAGGTGTGAATGTGAGTGTGAATGGTTGTCTGTCTCTGCGTTAGACCTGCAACAGACTGCCGACCTGTCAGGGTGTACCCCGCCTCTCGCCCCATGACAGCTGGGATAGTTGACCCTGCTCACCAGATTCATGAATCAATTCTTGGATCTATCATATAGCTATATTATTAGCTAAACAAACTAGCATCATTTAAGGTGGAAACCCTGTTTTTAACACTTGAAGTGCACCATTTCCTCCCTTAAGATGCTCTGCCAGGCAGTGTTTGCAGTTTGCTTTGGGTCCTTGACATCTTGCACTGTGAAGCAGCATCTTCTCAGCATTTGTCTGAAATCTGAGCAGAGTACAGCCATGTGCACCTCAGAGTACATCCTGCTGCTTCCATCAGTCACATCATCAATAAACAACAGTGAAGCTGTTCCACTGGCAGTCATACGTGTATGCCACAGCACTCCCTCCACTACATAATGTTGCACATAATGTCGTATGCTGAGCTGTTCCTTTGCTTCTCAATTTTCTTTTTCTTCCCACCATCCTGGTACAAGTTAAGTTTGATTATTCATAAAAGGTCAGCACAGCAGGGAGCTCCACATGGTTGATTTGGCAGATTTTTACACCACATGCTCTTCTTGACACCACCAACACCCCACGAAAGAATTTGAATCTATCCCAGGATCAAATCAGAGATTCTTCACTTGTTAGGAAAACTGAGAACGCCGTGAACAGCTACTGGAAAAAAGTTCAATGCTTATTTAACCAGCTTAATATGTCGTCTGCAACAGAAACAGGAAAACAAAGATACTGAAAACATAATTTTCCTCACAGCCTTCAAGTACTTTTATTTATCCTCCCGTGTAAAGTATCGTTTGGTTTACAGATCACTCTGTCAAGGATGTTGAAAGAGTAAAAGAGGTCATCAGTCTCTCCTGTGAACGACCTACTTAACAGATCTGCCACCTACGGTTCCCTTCACAGTAGGTCTGAGTGGTTTAATACCTGGGACTCTGCACAGCTTGGAGCCTCTCGGATGAAATGTCTCCACCAAACAGAAACAGAAGTGTTGCTGTACCTTTGAATACATAGTGAGTGATCTCAGACACAGCGACTGGCTTTGACTGTAAATTTAAAGTCATTTTTGACAGTTTTAAGGCACAAAAATCAATTCCAAATATTTTTTAAAAGTTGCAGCACTTCACTGAGCTTTGCCTGAAATGTCCAAATATAAGTTTTTACAGCTCGCTGTGTTTTAAAAATGAAAAAAAGCATAGAGTGACTTTAGATCTTAGGTTTTCTAGGAGTTATTTAGACACTTTAGGTGTCAGCAAGGGTCGTGACAAGGATATGACACCAGCACCGTCAAAGCACCCCTTCAAGGATGGCTAAAGACGACCTTTTCCACTTATTGAGCAGAGAAAACAAAAAAAATCCCCAAACAATCAGTGCTTCAATGTAAAATCACCCTGTAATCACAGCCTATTATAACAGTTTATCAGAGAGGACACACTGAGTGCACACAGGATATTTCTGTGAAAATACATTCAGAAAATGTTTGAATGACACACTAATTCCCTCTCTGCCTCTCCCCGTCCCTCCTCTCTGTGGTTACACTGCTAGCACATTTTACAGACATTTCAGTTTAGGTTAATGCTGGCCAACAAATGTCAATTTGACAGCTGCACGCCATCAGCAGTTACCATCTGAACAGGATGCCGTTCACAGTGTGATGGAGTATGCGCTAAATGCATCAGCTCATTAATGAGTCACCAGGCAGGCTCTGCCCACGTGTGCATTGTTCTCTCACTTTTGATTTGAGAACGAAGTGCTTTATAAACAGTCGTAGACCTTTTAAAGAGCAGGTGAACAGGCTTGGGTTTTCACACAAAATTGCTTCTGGCAGAGCAAGACAATTTGTGCAGATAAAACAGGTGCCATCCACTCTCATCCCCTCTTAATTCACAATCTGATTAGAGTGCAGACGTAATGGCACAGAAAGAGAAAAAGCTGTCAAGCTGTCTCTCAAATTCATGTTCCACGGTGTGAATGGGGACGCCGCCTTCCTGCGCTGTCAGCACAACGCTAAAATATGAGAGTGTGGCGAGTTTCTGTTGGTGGATTATTCCTTTTGGGTTTGGAGAAGTGATTTATGTTCATGTTTCATTATTTTAGCTTGTTCTTGGGTTGGGTTTCTGTATTTCATAGATACCCAGTGCTTAGTTTCCTTTTATCTGATATGTTCAGTCAAAAACTGTGGCAAAAAAAAGTTGGTGGGCTAACCACAATAGTTTTGGGCTGCGTTGAGTTAAAGTGTAGTTACATTTCCAGAGAGGTGCACGCCAGGTCCCGCCGTATGGTTTCAGAGAGGTTTATGGTCATGACTTAACTACGGTGTAAATTTCCCGGCGGAGGATAAATATCCAGTAAGTCTTCAATTGGATATTCCACCGTACTTCGAGTCCTCAGTTACTGTTAGTTTCAGTTCACGTTTAGATCTTTTTGTCTTGGTTTGGACGGGCAGGTGTGTTTGAAGTCGGACACGGGAGAAAAACAGAGTATAACAAAAAGCGAGCTGTTTATTTGGGCCGGAAAACATGAATACAAAATAAGGCAACATTGAACAATGGCAACGACTAAAACTAAAACCTAAACTGGGAAAAACTAGACTGATGACTATGTAAAAGACATGAACATTATTCAGAGCAGGAGCATGCGGGAAACTATGGGAAAACACATGAACAAGAACATGAAGTACCTGAACGTTAGACGTGACATGAAGGGAGGAAAACAGACGACCTGACTAAGACTGAAAACACAGAGACTACATACACACAGCAGGTGATCAGGGGAAACAGCTGACACAAATGGACATTGGACAATGGACACACGCACGCACGCACACACACACACACACACACACACACACTAAAGGCATTTCTTTCCCCCTCTCAAATCCAAATAAGTTTCTTTAAAAGAAGTGTTGCTGCCAGTTAAATATAATATTTACTTACTCTTTGAACCTGATCTCAGCCCTGACTAGGGATGGGTATCGTTTAGGTTTTATCCAATACCAGTACCAAACTGGTACTTTTGAAACGGTGCCGGTGCTTAAGCGGAGCTCGAACTGGTGCTTAAAGAATGGAGAACACACACTTTGTCCAAAAACCTCTCATGTTTTTTGTAAAAAGATAACAATGTTAGCCTTTTCTGCAGCTATGGGGCATATATGGTATCACTCTTGGCTGGAAGCAGTGCTTAAACAATGGAAAAAACACCAATTTTGTCCAAAAACCTCTCATGTTTAATTGTTTCCCACTTTTTCTTTGGTCATTTTAGCCTTTTTGGCCAGGGTGAAGGGAGTATCTGCCATCAAACAAGAAGACAGCCGCATGTAGCTATGATGATGTTTGCTAGTTCACCTTACATGCATTAATGTAATCATGTGGTTAGCCTACTCAACGTAAATTACACACGGACAACATTAAGCTACTCACGCAGAGAAGAACGGCTGCTGCTGCATCATCATCCTCATCATTTCTGCTACACTGGCAGGGCTAGGGGCCAGGACTCTCCTCTTCAGATTCTCGGGGGATGTTGCTAACTCCGGTCCGATAACAGGCACCACACCCGCAGTAGATGTGCACGGTGTGAGGTCTCGCAGCAAGAAATCAAATACGGTGCATTTCTCGGCTTTTAAAAAACGCTATGCGTCGCCAGGTGTTTCATCGGATTTGAGGAGTTACCTCCTTTGACAGTATCACAGTATCAGCTTAAAGCACTTGTTGCTGCTGAGTTTGCATATTTTGCTGTGAAGTACAGCCAGACTTTGACCGCTTCGCCTTGGACATTTTTAATCTGTAGCTCTGCTCTAAAATATGATGCAATCTAATTATAAATGCAAAACAATACAATTAAGTTTTTAGTTTGTTTCCTCCCCACAGTCATGATTTATGTTGAACACACAAGGCCTGTCACACCGAACCCCTGCAGTTATCATAGGGGTCAGTCTAGTACTAATTCCAAAAAAGTTAGCATGATGTGTAAAATTTAAATAATTTAAAGAATGATTTTCACAGTGGAAAATGACAAACACATCAAATTTAAACTGAGAAAATGTGGTTTTTTAAGGTCAAGGTTCAGGCTGATGAAAGATTCATCAGTCGTGGCTTTGCACAGAGATTTCTCCAGATTTTCTGATATTACACACATTATTAACATTTTTACACCGTGAACATTATTTTGAAATTCTTTCATAATTTAGTAGCTGCCGATTAACCTAGCCGCTTCTTTCTAGCAACACTTTATTTTCCAGCCTTTCCTGGAGCCAGCATTACATTGCTTGAGATGTAATGCTGGCGTGAAACTGAAATTGAACTCATATTTTTCACGAAACAGTAAAATTTCTTCTTCCAATATTGGTATTGTTTTTTGTGTTCTAATGTGAATAAAATGTGGATATAATATTTGCAAATGTTTTATTTACATTTTACACATTTTTTGGATTTGGTGTGCGCACGCATCTGTAATATAAATAACGAGCCAAAAACGCGTTACGATGATTTTGTATGATAGCAGTAAGTTATATTGAATTAGAACAGTTTTCCATATTTCTGCATTTTTACAGAATTTAAGCTTTTTCACCAAAATCTGGCACAAAGTGACGCAGAGCATTCCCTGTTTAATGCTCGGTGTTTCCTGGGGAAGGATCTGAAGTTTGCCCGCCTAATGAATGCCCTCCAGTGTTGACACCAAACCCACGCCCTTGTAAGCAATCAGCGGCACTGCTCCTACCCAGGGCACTGAATCAGTGCGCGAGGAGAAGGAAAACATCTCCTTGCTGTGCGTGTTTACGACAGAGGATGTTTCAGAATGACACCACTTGTACATGAACCCCACCTCTCCCCCCCCCGGCTCACACGTCGGGCGCTGAGTGCTGTGCTTGAGCGTCACATCACAGACTTAACGGGAATCTCGGGTGTCTGCACCGCTCCTCCAGGATTATGCCCGGGATGACTCCGTGGTGATTTCTGAGTCCTTTTTGGAAACATTCATGGGTGCACGACAGGATTTCCCGAGTGGGGAAACGTGGGATTTTGTCCACTACCGCTGTCGTTTCCACTGCGCGGACGGCTCAGGTTTTGACCACAACTTGGGTTAAACTTTTCCGAAATACTCCGGTGTGAAGAAAGAAAGCCGGATTTACAATTAACTATTTAACCTGGTGTTCTCTTCACACTGCCGGGGATGAAGGCAGATCGACGAACTATGAATTTTCTCTTATGGATATTAGTCCCAAACTTTTTCCTGTGTTGGCTTGTGGTTGACGCACAGGTAAGAAACGTTATGCTGGGCACGCGCCACAGCACGCGGCATGTTTGTGCTGCTAAAGTCATATTTTTGAGCAATTGTTTCCCCCATTGAGCCCAAAGAGGCTCGACAGAAACATGAGAATATAAACTGTCATTATATAATGTTAGACCAGCACCATGCATCATTTCCCCTGTGTGCAGACACAGCAGGCAATCTAAAGAACACCAGCCATGTATGCAAGTATAGTGCATGTGCGCATTTTTCTGTTATATATATATATATATATATATGAATGAATGTGTGTGTGTGTGTGTGTGTGTGTGTGTGTGTGTGTGTACGATAGGAGTCAACAACGAGCGATAGATAGATATAACAGTATAAGTGTATAAGTCATTTATTTTGTTATTTTGTGCTGTAGATTTTTGCGACCACACAGGCACGCACGCACACTCCACATTTCATCATAAAATCAATATCAATATCAGCACAGCAGATGGAGGCGATGCATTTGTTATGAGCTTAACTTGCTAGGAGCAGTTTGTTCCACATCTGATAAGTTTTGTGTTCTAAAATAACCATCAGCTGCCTTTCAGATCACATTGTGATGGGTTTGTTAAGCCTCACTTTTTTAAGTAATGAAGCAAAACCAAACTGAATGCCTCCTAGGAACAAGACCAGTATGTTTGAGTTTAGATTATTTGTCTTAAATTGTTGTTGTTGTTTTTTTTTAATAAGATGATGCATGTGAATATAGTATTTTGCATGTAACCCGAAGCTGGGCTGACTAAAAAATTGACACATGAATCACCAGACTTGATGTACTATTAGTCACTGATGAGTCCCAGTTGTTTATAGTGAAGCATAAGCTTGTCGAGGGCAGGAGAGTGTTCCTGCATTAACAGCACCACGGACAGCGGCTTCAGCACTGGATCCTCTGTGATGATGAAGGATCTGAGTGTACATAAAAACTAGAAAATAACATTTCTGATGCCAAGGCATCATTTCATAATATGAATATCAAATAGCAATAATGGAATAATGAATAGTGCCGGCCATATAGATTCAAATGTTGAAATATGAGTCATTGAAAGTTGGGATTGTTTGGTTTTTGCTTCACTGACAGATGCTACTCCTCCTTTAATTTGTCAGTATTGTATTTAAAAAAAGGTGTTTTTTTAAATACATTTTCCAGGCTGTTGCCTGCTAATCAGACTCAAGTCTTTGCTTCAGTTTGCAAGTGAAGTGCAATCTTCTTCCTGTACAGCTGCTTTAATTTCATCCATGTCTGCCATCAGGTTTACATGCATTTTTTCCATGAAGAGAGATATTTAGCTGGCTAAGACAAAGATGTGTGACGATAACACCTTTCACTCTTAATCCCACAGATTAACCTTTACTTCAACTGTTTCATCAGTGGGTTCAACGTCAGATCTCTTTGTATTGTTGGACAAATTGTGGGGATTAATTCAGAGTCTGGAGTCAGATTAGGTAAAGCCTACCAAGGCTCACTGGCTGAACTCTGAGTCAGTGATGAACACGTCAGCCTGATTTGCAACATCAAATAAAGCGTGCACATATTAAACAGCAGCTTCAGTTTACCTTAGTTTTAAAAATAACACACTGACCCGCTGGGAAGTTTTAGGGTATGAAATAAAGAAGAGAGCTCCTTTCTGCATCTAACAAAGGATCCACGAAGGAAGTTTCAGGGGTTTAAATGTACTTAATGAACTGATTCTGATGCCTGGCACTATAATTATTTATCCCAAGACTGAAAGTCAAACATCTGCTGTGTACCAGCTAACCACCCTCAGTGAGATGGCTGGGCTTAGGCTGGGTTGTTTGGCTCAGGAAGGTGTAAATCTGGAGTCCAATTAATGGAACAAGCCTTCAGGTGTGGGACACAGACACCTTCTATTTAGAAAATCTGTCTATGAATGGGAGCTGATTTAGTACTGTGGCTACCTTTGACAAAGCTGGGGCCCAGTTATGATGATTCAACTGTAACACAGGACATATTATTCTCCAAGGTGAAAAAAGAAGGGTTGGGTAAGGGCTTTAAGTATCAGGAGAGCTGCTTGTACAAGAAATAGAATAGATGTAGAGATACTGTGAAATGACGTCAAAAATCCCCACCTGAGCTCTGTTGAAGCAATTATGGTCCAAAATGGCTCTAAAAGGTTTTGAAGGTATAAGCTGCTACAACAGGAAGTGCTTTTTTTGAGGTTATCGCTGCTAGAAGAGTTTCAACCAGTTATTCATTCATACTGGGATTATCTACACCTATGACTCAAGCTTTATTTGTAGCGCTGTTTATATCCGGCAGAGCAGACAATTAATTTTCCCCAAGGTGCTGCATTAGAAACTGCGACAGCCGTGGAGGGCCGCACCCAGAAGGGAAAGCTAAACACCCACCCTGACCGTAGAGTCTGATGACATAAGATACTGATATCTGCTGATGTTAAAAACAAATTTTCCCTTTCTAACAGATGTAACACACATGTCCTTATCATTTTGTGGTTCAAAATAGGTGTGCCCTCTGGTGGACAGCATGTGCAACAGCAAAACAGCTAACAGCTAATAATTTTACGATATGCCGAGTGTTGCAATAAAAAATAATATAAAAAACAAACACCCAGCACGCCCCTGCCTGCGGTTTATCCTTCAAGCTCGGGTCCTCTACCAGAGGCCTGGGAGCTTGAGGGTCCTGCAGTATCTTAGCTGTTCCCAGGACTGCGCTCTTCTGGACAGAGATCTCCGATGTTATTCCCAGGATCTGCTGGAGCCACTCGCCTAGCTTGGGAGTCACCGCACCTAGTGCTCTGATTACCACGGGGACTATATATATATATATATATATATATATATATATATATATATATATATATATATATATATATATATATATGTGTGACTTATCACCAAATTATGAACTCAAAGTTAAACTTTTTCAGTATCTGTTTTATCCAGTAAAATCTGTAAGTTTTGTCTCTACAGTTATTTTTTTTGCTGCAAAATGAAAAAATGTGGTGAAAATGCCACAAATGCTGCTGTAAGTTGGAGTCTTTCTGCATCTGAATGGGATCAAGTTAGCAATTAAATGCAATATTTTTCTGAAAATACAGCAGTTAACTGAGATAAATCATTGTAAATCACATGTTTCTGTCTACAGCAACCTTCCTGTTTGACTGGCAGCCAGCTGTGTTGAATCCCCTCCAGTTGTGCTCATTGAGAAAGACTCAGACTGAATCTTTCTGGATTTATAAATTAGATAGCAATTATTTGCAAACCTTCACCAACCTCTCTTAGAGGGACTGCATTCAGTCCAAACCTGCAGAATGTTTTTTAATTCAACCTTTATTTATGTAAATTTACCTTGATAAAAGTAATCCCACTATGACTTAATGTGTTATTTATACGAGAGACCTGTTTCGGTTGCCTCCGATCAGGCAACATGAGCTCTCTTGTTCATGGTATTCATGGTTCAAGTATTTCAGTTTTTTTAATTAAATTTGAATATTTCATGTTCCTGTATCAATACAATATTGGTGCACAAAATATTGCAATACTATGCTGTATTGACCTCCCCATGTAGCTGCTTGTAATTTATTCCTTTTCCAGCCTTTAAGTAAAAGTAACTGTTGCTGGATATAGTTCAACATGATTGGCTCAGTTTTAGTTGCACCAGTAGACAAATATAAATGCAAATGATCAATTACGTGATCAATTATGTAGGCTCCAGATGCTCCAGATGCTTTAGATGACCAGTTACAGCAAAGAACTCCAGAGGTTTTTGATTTGATTTACAATAATGGTCTGGGAACAATGGCTGCAAAGTCAAGACTGTTGTTCAGGTTTTAAATATTCTAGGTAATAATTTTTAACCTGCCCCAATTTGTGCTTAATGTACAAGTTGTTAAAATTTAGTAAACAAACATGGTGGGAATCCTTCTTAAGCTTCTACCAAATGCTTTGTGTTAGCTCAACATTATAACGATTCTGAGAGTCGATCGGTTGGCTCCTCCAGTATCTTTAATTTATGCATGCATAAATTAAGAGTAAGTCCAAGTTTCCTACCACACTCCAGATGGAGCTTTAACATATTTCTGAAAGTATGTTAACTATAATTAACTCTACTGGGAAATGTTAAGGCTTCAAATCTGAAACACAGACATCTTAAACATGATCTGCAAAGAATATTAACCGTGTTTGATTCTTCTGCTTAATGGGCTGTTGGATATATGATCGTACATGGGTTTGTAAGCTTGACATGGTACAATAACCACACTGTTATTTTCCTGGAGAGGCTGTGAGATGGCTTAAAGCTGTAATGACGTCTTTTTTTTAGATTTTCAGTGAATGTCAGGCTTGGGTTTGGAAAACTGGAATAATCACATAAAAGGATGTTAAAAGTTTGAGGAGTACATCTGAGAGGTCTTAGATTTCTGTAAGAAGTGAAGCAAATTATGAGAGTGGAAATGTACGGAGCCTGCAGGGGACATGGGAGAAAAAAAACTTAAGATGGACTTTTGCGAGATCTCGCAAAAGTTTTAGCCGCATTCTTCGGCCTTCGACCTCCCGTTAGCTCGAAGCTAACGGGAGGTCGAGACCTACTACAGCCGGGAGGAGCACCGCTTTCCCGGCACATCGTGCCTCGACCTCCCGGTTGGCTTCAAGCTGGCATCCGAAGATTGCGGCTAAAACTTTTGCGAGATCTCGAGTTAGTTTTGCGAGATCCCGAGTTTGTTTTGTGAGATCTCGCAAAAGTCCGTCTTAATTTTTTTTCTCCCATGTCGCCTGCGGGGCTCCGTAGAAATGAGACATTAACTGGAAGTGAAGTATATGGAAATCAATGTGAAAAGAAGAAACAAACAAAAAAAGATTGAAAATCACTGAAAGAATGACTGGAATCCACTGATTCTGGACCTTTTCTTACGTTTTGAGGAATAAAGCAAGCATACTGTTAATATAAAAGTAAATAAAGGCAAAAATCGATTTTTCTTTTTGTTTAGACTCGTATAAGAAGTCAATCAAAACTGATGTCGGGGTTTTAAAAGAAGCTTTTAGGAAATATGTGTGAGTGATATGCCTGTTTTAGTCATGTCAGAAGCATCACTTCAGAGAGAGCTCTCTCTCTCTTTGGTCACTTCTTCACTTTGGTCCAAACTATAACAAAACAGTCTCGACTGGATCGACTTCCAGACATGCACCCTGTTATGCAAATCTGATAGCAGTTTGACATGTGAGTATGATGTCTGAATAACAATCCTGGTCACGTTTGGGGAAGAATCGTGACAGCAATCTTACCAGGTCACATGTATATTTTCTGTATCAGCCTCAAAATGGAAAGCATGTTGGACTTGCATAAAGAAAAAGGCTGTGGCAGAAAGAGAGAGCAAAAGAAAAAGGAATGCAAATGTTTTACATTAAAAAACTCTAATACATTTGTTATCTCAGTCATTTTCACTTCTACAGAAAGAAATCATTTAAATAAATTAGGAAAAGCAGTGTTAAGAAAGGGCGATTTAAGTTTTTGGGCGAATCATCTTTTCATAAGTCATAAGTGTAATAATCTCACCAGCACATTCTTTATATATTTTTCATTTTCATTCATGCCAAGTGTTAAATGTATAAATATGCAAGGCCTAAACTTTTGGCAACGTGTGAGTAGCTGAAGAGTGAATCTATATTATTGCTCGTCTCCAAGAATTTATGCACCACAAAAAATCTGCTTTAAATTCTGCATTGATTGATGAAAGTGAGGCAAAAATTGAATCGAGGACTCTCCATGAGAAGAGATGTCACCCAAAATTCTCCCCACACTAGCTTTGCAAGGTTGGATCTCATCTCATTGATCTTATTGCAGCTTTTGATACATTCTCCCACCACACCGTCCGCTATAGATTAGTCTCTAATGGCATAAACAGTCACTCGCATGGTTTTCTCGTACCTCTCCGGCTGTTCAGTTTGTGCAAATAAATATATATATATATCAGTATAATTCAGATTATTGTGGTGTGCCTCGAGGCTCTGTCCCGGGGGCTTTGCTCTTCAATATTTATCTTCTACCTCTCTGCAATATTTTCAGGTGATATAACACTCATTTCTGTTTATCTTCCAAACCCACTGCTATTCTCCCTCCACGTCTCTTTCTGATTGTTTAGTTAAAATTAAAGTTTGGTTTACTCATAATTTTCTTTAACTTAATAATAATGAAAATATAATTTATTTTTATTGCCATAAAATCGATGTGGTTTAAATCTATTAGTTATTCATTAACTATTAATTAAGAACATTAAGAGCTGGATGGCCTGAAAGCCATAATCTGAGATCCTTCCCAGATGCCTTAATGCCCACTCGCATCCTGGGCCATTTGACCTCAGCAAATCACATGATAGGCCAGCACAGGCATCTAGTATCCGTAGTTTCAGGTGCTGCACGTCTCGTATCTTCACCCCATAGACAATTGCCTTCAGATGACCCCAAAGATAAAAGTCTAACGGGGTCAGATCGGGAGACCTTGGGGGCCATTCAACTGGCCCACGATGACCAATCCACTTTCCAGGAAACTGTTCATCTATGGCACCCATAATGTGGTGGTGCACCATCTTGCTGGAAAAACTCAGGGAACGTGCCAGCTTCAGTGCATAAAGAGGGAAACACATCATCATGTAGCAATTTCAAATATCCAGAGGCCTTGAGGTTTCCATTGATGAAGAATGGACCCACTATCGTTGTACCCCATATACCACACCAAACCATCACTTTTGTTGTTCCAACAGTCTTGGAGGATCCATCCAATGTGGGGTAGTGTCAGACCAATAGCGGTGGTTTTGTTTGTTAACTTCACCATTCACATAAAAGTTTGCCTCATCACTGAACAAAATCTTCTGCGTGAACTGAGGGTCCTGTTCCAGTTTTTGTTTTGCCCATTCTGCAAATTCTGTGCGCCGATTTGGGTCGTCCTCGTTGAGATGCTGCAGTAGCTGGAGTTTGTAAGGGTGCCATCTGTGAGTAGCTAATATCTGCCGAAGGGATGTTGGACTAATGCCACTCTCCAGTGACATGCGGCGAGTGCTACGCTGTGGGCTCTTGCTGAATGAAGCTAGGACAGCCACTGATGTTTCTTCATTAGTGACAGTTTTCTTGCGTCCACATTTTGGCAAATCCAACACTGAACCAGTTTCACGAAACTTAGCAAGCAGTTTGCTGACTGTGGCATGGGAGATGGGTGGTCTCGTAGGGGGTCTTGCATTGAAATCTGCTGCAATGACCTGGTTACTGCGTTCACCAGATATCAACACAATTTCGCTCCTCACGTGTTAACCTCTTTGACATGTCAATGGCTGTGAACAAAGAGAAACTTGTAAATAACTCATGAAAGAATAAAGTTACGCTGAAACCAAGCACACCATTGTTTTTCTTGTGACATTACCAATAGGTTTGATGTGTCACATGACCCTCTTCCTATTGAAAAAACAAAAGTTGTATCCAAGATGGCCGACTTCTAAATGGCCACCATGGTCACCACCCATCTTGAGGAGTTTGCCCCCTCACATATACTAATGTGCCACAAACAGGACTTTAATATCACCAACCATTCCCATGTTATTACGGTGTATCCATATAAATGGCCCACCCTGTACAATACCTATAAAGTCGTCGCTTTACATGCATCAAAGAGTTTCTAATTTTAAAATTCACATAATTTTTTATATATGCTCAGTTCAAGATTAAAATCAAAGACCTGGGGCAGAGCAGGTCTGGCCCACAGCACGCAGGAAGATGTTCCCAGTGTTGTTGAAATTTCAGGAAATGGTGACTTACAGTCATGTATGCACAGGGTCAAAGATCTGATCGTGTTTGCTGTGCTCCACAGATGGGGTTTGATGGGCCGCTCTCTGCACAGGAGCAGATGTACATCCTGTATGAAATCAAAATGCAGTGCTACCAGAATCTCTCCAACACTGAACCAGGAACCACAGGTACAAACCATACACGCAGATACAGTCGCTGCAAAACAACACTCAACTCATTTGAGCTTAGCTGAAACATCAACACTTTAAATTGTATGATGGGGGAAAAATTAGGACGATTCCAAAAATAATGGAATCAATACTTTTGATTAAACATCTTTTCCCAACTGTCAGTAAACAGGGAAAATTAAAACAAAAGGAAATCAATATTTGATGTGACCACAAACTCTTCTGCACTCCTTATCTCAATTAAGGATGCTCAGTGCTCAGAGAGCAGAAAGGAGGGAGTCGTATTTGTATATGGAGCTTCCACTTTTGCAAGCAAAAAATTGACGAGTATCTAAAAGTGATTCTTACAACCTAAACCCAGGATTTAAAGCACACCCTCTGGCTTCTGTAACCCGGTTGGGTAACAGGGGATGTGCTCAAACAGCCAATAACATAACATTTGTGCTACATATGTGATAATCTGTTGTAAGATCTGTTTGCATTTAATTCAACTTTGCAGAGCTGATAAGAAATTAAATCAATAAAATCAAAAGGATGTTTCAAGGACATTTGAACTAAAGACAGTTTTGTTTTTTATTTTTCCTTTACAGTATATTATATATAAACCAATTATTTATATAATCATTTGTTTTCAACTTGAAACTCTCGTTTGTTCAGCTTTCATAACCAGTGATTATGCAAGTATTTAACAGAATAATAGAGGCTAACATTTCTGTGCTCTTTAATGAGTAATTTCAATTAAAACACCACATGTTTGGAATCAATTTGAAATCAGAGCTGCAGCAGCAAATGAGCCAGCATGCTCCATCAGAAGTGGGCGCAGCTTACCCCTCAGCCTTCAGCACCAGACCTGGGCAGACTGCAGGGTGTACATTTCTCTCTCTGGATGTTTTTGTGCTTTTTTGCCTCTTTATTTTCCAGGTGGCAGGTGCATAATCACTGATGGACAGTTGGTCTTGTCTTCCAGAATACATAAAATATTAAACTGCTGATTTTAAATAGTTTTTTGAAAGAACTCTTTTCTTTTTGTTATGTCACCAACGGCAGCTGTGAGTGTGCCCTGAGTTGTTTTGGTAGCTCTCGTGACTTTAATAGCAACGCCATAAGCGACACTGGGACAGCTCTGTCTTATCGTGGCGACTCCGTTTATTGCCAAACTGCAACATACAATACACACGGCACAACCACCAGAGGGTGCTGCATGAACTCTTGAGTTAGTCCTTACCATAACATCCCCCTTTCTGAGTACATTATAACCATAATGTTTCCTGTGCTAATCCACATTTATGTCAACACTACATTCACTGCAACTTAACTTGTAGCTGAATATTTCAATGCTGTTACGTTAACTTTTATTCTGTAACGGACATTTATTGTTTCCACTTTATAACAATTATTTTATTTAACTGTGTGAACTTATCCAACTATGAAGGTGGGGTAGACTTCCCAATCCTTCCGCTGAGTGAGGGGATTATTCTGCCCTGGCTGGTCACTCAGGTGCTCGAGAGTACCTACTACCTACTTCAAAGTCTTTAAGGTACCTCGGTGGGTTTCTGTCTCTGGTGGGATATCTTTTCTCAGTAATCCGGTCATTCGGTGGTGTAAGACACTGCTGTGCCTGGTTCGAAACCGGGCTGCTGCTGTCTTCTGGTATGACAGGGATCTGCTGTTCTGTCGGTTCCGTCTTGGTCTCTTTTAGTGTGATGAGATGGCTCCTGTTTCGACGTAGAAGTCCTCTCGGGGTCTCAACAAGGTAAGAACGCGGCGTCTCTGCTCTGCCTGATATAGTTCCATTTGTTTTCATGTCTGTTATCCAGACTTGATCTCCTGGGTGTAGTCCTGTGAGGTCTTGTGCTCTGTGTCTGTTGTTGAACCATTTCCACTGTTTTTCTCTCTCCTTCCCTTCTCTCTCTCTCAGTTTAGTGATGTTTGTCCAGCCTGGGTTGAGGCAGGATGGAAGTATGGGAACTGTGGTACGAAGTTTCCTCCCCATCAGAAGCTCTGCAGGGCTATGTCCATTGGCAAGTGGTGTGGCGCGATATGCCATGAGAGCAAGATATGGGTCTCCTTCTTTCTCCAGAAGGCTCTTTACTGTTCTCACTGCTCTTTCAGCCTCACCATTGCTCTGAGGGAATCTCGGGCTGGAAGTGGTGTGGGCAAAGCCCCACTCTGAAGCAAACTTTTGGAAGTGTTCTGAGGAGAATTGTGGACCATTATCCGACCTTAACTCTGTTGGAATGCCGTGGCGTGCGAATATGGACTTTAAGTGGTCAATCACTGCTGCTGATGTGGTAGAGGACAGCTTAGCTATTTCTATGTATCGTGAGAAATAGTCCACTGCAACCAAATACTGGCTGTTACTCCACTCAAAAAGATCAGCACCAACTAACTCCCACGGCCGTGTAGGAAACTCAGTTGGCATGAGTGTTTCTCTGGGTTGCTGTCTCACCTTTGCACACGTCTCACATTCTGCTACCAGCTGTTGTAGTTGAGAGCTCAGTCCTGGCCACCATACCGACTGCTTGGCTCGTTCCCTGGACTTTACAATGCCCTGGTGACCTGTGTGCAGTCGTGTCAAAACATCTTTTTGTAATATTTTTGGGATAACTATACGCATACCTTTTAGGAGAAGTTCATCTTCAACAGTCAGGTCCCCTGCATGCTGGTGGTATGGGAAACATGGACCTGGTATTTTGAGTTTGTCCGGCCAGCCATTCTTGCAGTAGAGTTTGATTTGTTTTAGTGTTTCGTCTTTGTCTTGCTGCTCTCTTATTTGTTGTAGTCTCTCCTCTGTTGCAGGAAGACCTGAAATCACCTGATGTGCATACAGGTTCATTTCGTCTCTTAATGTCTCGTCACAAACAGTTTTTTCTGGTGCTCTGGACAGCACGTCTGCAGTTGCGATGTGTTTGCCTGGGACATGTGAGATGGTGAAAGAGTACCGCATTAATCTCATTCTCAGTCTTTGTACTCGTGGTGGCAGTTCGTCTAAGTTCTTGGAGCCCAAAAGTGGTACTAAAGGCTTGTGATCTGTCTCAACATGGAACTCAATGCCTATAAGAAAATCAGAGAATCGCTCACATGCCCAGGTTATGGCTAACGCTTCCTTCTCTATTTGAGCGTACCTCTGTTCCGTGGGGGTTAATGCTCTTGAAGCGAAGGCCACTGGTTTGGTTGCGTCATCCTCTTGTTTCTGAAGTAGCACCGCTCCTAGTCCATAGGAGGATGCATCAGCTGATACTGTTGTTTGTGCTTTGGGGTTGTAGAGTGCCAAGTTCGGTGGTTTACTCAGTTCTGCCTTAATGTTGTCAAATGCTGTTTGTTGAGCCTCACTCCAACACCACATGTTTTTGGTACTGAGTAGTTCTCTCAACGGCTGTGTTTTCTCTGCTAAGTGGGGAAGGTACTTGCCTAGATGATTAACCATTCCTAGGAATCGTCTCACTCCACCCACATCCGTGGGCGCTTCCATGTTGCTGACTGCTTTCACTTTCTCCGGGTCTGCTTTGACTCCTGCAGCATCGATGATCTGTCCGAGGAACTTGATTGAGGTCTTTGCAAACTCACACTTCTCACTTTTCAATGTCTCCCCAGCTTTTGTGAGCCGTTCCAGGACTGCGATCAGTCTCTTGTCGTGCTGGATTTGTGTGTCAGCATAAACCAGAATGTCATCCATCTGGCAGACGACTCCTTCCAGCCCCTCTAAAAGCTGAGACATTCGTTTTTGGAAGTGTTCGGGGCCGAAGATATGCCAAAACAAAGTCTATTAAAACAGAACCTTCCGAATGGCGTGATGAAGGTTGTGAGAAGAGCTGACTGTTTGGACAAAGGTATTTGCCAAAACCCTGAGTTAGCGTCGAGTTTTGAGAACAACTTTGCGCCCTCTAGCTGTCCTAGGGTGTGCTCAACTGATGGCAACATGTGTCTTTCTCTTTTCACAGAATTATTTAGTTTGGTCAAGTCCACGCACACACGCACTTCATCTCTGTTTGGTTTAGGTACTGGAACCATTCCTGCACACCAGTCGGTAGGCTGCTGTACTCTGGAGATTACACCTAACTCTTCCATCCGAGCAAGCTCTCTTTTGACTTTGGGTAACAGGGGAAGCGGGACTCTTCTTGGAGTTGACAGGGCAAACGGTTTGGCGTCTGCTTTAAGCTCAATTTTGTATTCCCCCGCCATCCGGCCTAACCCACTGAATAGTGTTGGAAACTGCTGCTTCACTGTTTCTACTGAAGTGAGTGACACAGTTTCTATTCTAGCCACTAACCCGAGTGCTACGCTCGCTATGCGGCTTAGTAATCCTTGTGTCAGGTCTGCTACTACATACACAGGCTGTACTGTAGCTTTGCTTGGAGTGCTCAAGTTAGCAGTAAATTTCCCTCTAACTGTTAATGGAGACATTCCCACCCCATATAGTTTCAGATCTGTGGGTTGCAGCTGCGGTTTTTGTGCTAGAGTGTTGTACTCTTTTTCAGGCAAGACGGTTACGTCCGCTCCTGTATCAATTTTTAGCCAGCAGTCTGCATTGTTAACTTTTACTTTAGTCAACCACGCATCCTCTGTTCTATCTGAGGCTACCGTTCCCAGAAATGCTATTTCTCTTTCTTCTCTGTTACCACCCGCTGCACGTATTTCTCCCACTGCCCCAGACCTACATACTCTTGCGTAGTGACCTTTCTTTTTGCACTGATTGCAGAGTACCTCTCTGGCTGGGCACTGGTGTTTGCTGTGAAAGGGTGTCTTTCCACATCGGTTGCATTGGCTTTTCACATTCCTCTCCGTGGTTTGTGGTACAGTCTTTCGTGGTTTGAAGTGTTTCGTTTTTGCTTTATCGAGACAGTTTTCCAATCTTTTATTGTCTTGTTGTGGCGACACCAAATTATAACCAGTTTCCTGTTCTTAGCTGTCAGGAGCGGCCCCGGTGTGGTTTTCTGCTTCAAGGTTCGGTGTATTATATTCAGAGACGCTTTTCTGCATACCTCAGGTGTGAATAGGGGCTATTTGAGTTCCTGTTGCCTTTCTGTCAGCTTAAAGCAGTTTGGCCATTCTCCTGACATCTGCAAGACATTTGTGCAAAGGAACTGCCGCTCACTGGATGACAGACCTTTGTTGATCTGCTGGCATTTTCTGAGAAAAGCATCTCTTGAACCAACCAGCCTCTCTTGAACCAACAATCATGCCACATTCAAAGTCACTTAAATCCCCTTTCTTTGCTACTTTCATGTTCACTTTGAACAGCAGGTTGTTGTGACCATGTCTACATGGCTAAATGATGTGCCGAGCTGACATTAATGAGCAGTTGAACAGGTGCACCTAACAAAGTGGCCTGTGAGCGTACAAGCCTATTCGCATCACAATGTGAATGGATATATAGAAGTCCATATTCTTGGCATCTAAAACAAACTAGCACACATAGGAAAAACAGAGGGTATCATATCGGTGACGTGTTGACTTCTTCATCTTCTCACTGCAGATGAGGTGTGCCCTCCAGACTGGGACGGTCTGATTTGTTGGCCCCACGGCTCCCCCGGGCTCATCACCAAGGTCCCCTGCCCATCGTACATCTATGACTTCAATCACCAAGGTTAACACTTTTCTTTTCCAGCACCGAATTAGAGCTTAACATGCAAAGAAAAACTCAAACTGTTCAGCGAACATCTAATACAAGCATTTTCAGCATGACTCGTTATATTCTCAGGTAGCGCGTACAATCCGAAAAAGAGTTTTGAGGATTTTGAAGGTCTTGGACAAGATGAAAGTTTGCTTTTTGAGAAATTTTGCTCTGATGTGTTCTTCACAGAAAAGTGGAACATCATATTTGGTGGATAATTAGTGAAACTTTTTGGTCCTTACAGCAGGATTCTTGAATAATTTCAGCTTCATATTCAGGCCACAAAGAAAAAAAATTAAAGAATTAAAGTGGATCGAACTCTGTCCATCACATCGAGCGTCAACATTAATGTTTTAAATTCAGTCATTAATAGTTTGATTTATATCCGTTCTTTCCCTGATGTGAAAGCCACAATGAATTGAAGGTAAAAAGGTTTTTAAAGGCATTAAAAATGATTTTTTTCCCTTTTATACACGACACAGAACTAAGGTGTAGTTTTTATTATTCATTGTGATTAATAATTTCAGATCACCTGTGTAAGAATAGATGTGTTTGGGCCATTTATGCATTAGTTACTTAAACCTTTTTAAAGGTGTTTTTGTTTGAGTGAAATTATTTTTTATTTTTAAAATGGGCATTTTGTAGGACATGCTTACAGGAAGTGTGACATCAACGGTTCCTGGGTCTTTGTGGAGCAGTGGAACAAAACATGGACCAATTACTCAGAGTGTTTACGCTTTCTCCAGCCCTTCAGTGACGAAGATGGGAGAGTAAGTATCGCTATAAAATATTAAAGTTGCAGCTGTATGTGTGAAATGTTTTCCATTGTGAGTATACAGTAAAAGTCTCCAGCTACCCCTCATTCTGTACATTTTGCTTCCAAGCAGCCAGACTTTCCCTTAACTTAAGCCTGACGACCTTTCCCGGGTGCATACTGCACGATCACACCACTGCACCACCCTTTTCCCTATTATTAAGGAACTCAACACTGGCTTTGAATCATTCAAACAAAACAAAAAAGGTCCTAAATCAAGAGATGAAGCAACTAGATGTGTCTAAAACAGACAAGAGACAACAAAGAACCAAATTTAAATTGTATCTTTTGACACTTTATTACAAGCAGCCTGTTGCAAAGACACATTTCTTCCTGTTTCTTCAGCTGAAACCATGAAAAATGCCAAAGATAACACAGTTTGACAGGCATGAAATAGTATTTTTACACCAACACGCTGCTATAAGCTGAAAACTTGGCATTGTTGCCTCTTAAAAATTTTAATGACACTAGACAAGTGGAGAACAAAAGAAGAAGTGACAGGCCTAAAAACGATCCACTGCAGATGAACAGTGTCTGAGAGCCACACAGACCCGACGCAGGAGCTGAGAGATGCACCTGAACCTTCAGCTGATCCACCCGCTGTTCACCGAAGCCTCATCAGAAATGGAAGGGTGGCTGTCAAGAAGTCATTTTTAGAGAAGGGAAGCGGGAGGAACGCCTGATGTGTGCTTTAGACAAGAGACAACTGGGCTGGAAGTCAGTGGAGTGATGAATCTAAATTTGAAAATATTTGGTTCAGATCTTCATCGGGTTGTCTGTAGGAGGTCTGGGGAGGTACACCGAGTATCTACACTTGTCTGTAAAACACTCTGTGATGGGTTGGAGCTGGATTTCAGCCAGTGTTGCTGGAGAGCTTGTTAAAACGACTGAAAATATGAACGCAGAAAAGTACCATTAGATTTAGATCTACAGTGTAATCCTATCTGGAAAGCATCTGATTTCAGCATTCAGGCTGTGCTGAAGAAAAAAGCAGCCATACAATTTCTTTGACTTTTAAGCTCTTTCAAAATGTACAAACTGTGCTTTCACCTCACATACTGTTTCCATGTTTCGATAAATTGCTGCCATATCTTCCATTTTCCCATCTGAATGTAAATAAACGAGGGGTGAATCAAGCCTCGCGCAGTGTTGCACACAGGTCAATAAACATACATAGAGCAGACCTCTGTGAATAAGCCTGGATGTTCTCTGAAACATCTGCTGCCCCGTCTGCTCCATCTTACACAAACATCTGTTTTGTGGTGCAGAGCTTCATATTCTTACCTCGAGTGTCTAACAACCAAACAGCTCCTCATCCTCCGAAGCTCACGTTCTCACCCTTTTTACTTGTTATCCTTTAACACAGCTTTCAGGCTCTCATCACAGGCTGCATATTTATGAGTTGTTAGCTGTTCATTATGTGTTCCTTCTCAGGTTGTAGAAGAAAAATGATTAAAGGAAATCTGAAATACTGCTAACTTTTGTACAGCAGGATTATGACAGTCTTATTTTCTACTCAGTAATCAGCTCCAAAAAGCATTTCTTACATCCTCTACGGTACCGTCCGCCCAGATATGCCCCCCCAATAAAATACAAAGCAGACATTTGATAAGGAAACCAAACAAAGTGTTCTCAGAAGCTGGTGACTAATCATATAGCAGAATTATTTCAGGACAAATGAGGACACTGTGCTCCAAGCAACCAAAAAATAAATAAAATTTAAAAACATGTAATCATTCAGACAGTCTGCATCTCTTGAAGCTCAAACATATTAATCAATAAAGCCTAGCATCCGCCATAGTGATTAGTGTGCTGTTTGGTATGATTCATTATGAAAATATCAATTTTAACTGCAGATTTTGATATTTTAGCCATTTGAAGGCAGAAAAGGATACAAAATCTCAATAATTGGAGAAGTTTTCATCTCGCCATCCGTCTGTTTACAACCATTTAAATTCTCATATTTCATCTAAAAGTTACTTTCAGTTACTTTTCCCCTTTCCTTGTTTTGCCTGCTACACATATAAGATGTTAATCAATTCAATTTTATTTATACAGCGCGAAATCACAGCAACAGTCGCCTCAAGGCACTTTATATTGTAAGGCAGACCCTACAATAATACATACAGAGACAAACCCAACAATCATATGACCCCCTATGAATAAGCACTTTGGCGACAGTGGGAAGGAAAAACTCCCTTTTAACAGGAAGAAACCTCCAACAGAACCAGGCTCAGGGAGGGGCGGGGCCATCTGCTGCGACTGGGTGGGGTGAGAGAAGGAAGACTGGATAAAAACATGCTGTGGAAGAGAGACAGAGATGAATAATAAATGGATTATCCAACCTGACACTACATTAGTGACATTAATATGCCTTCACGTCACCTTTTAAAGCAGCTTTTGTAAGTGTATTCACACACATATTCACACAGCAGACAGATAAATGGAGCATCATTAGTATTTGGACTCATTACCATGTGTTTTCTTAGGTCTTTTGTGCGCGTCTCTAACAGCTCCAGGGGGAAATATTTGACTTTTTAGCTGCTAACTGCTGCTGTGTTCACCGGCTAATTGCCAGCTTTGGATGCCTCATGTTAGGAGTGGGTGTACTGTAGTAGGAAACAAAAAGTAGTCGACGTGCTGCTGCAGAGACTTTGCTTTACTGAGACACTTGAGTTTGGAGGAGTGACAAATTGCAGCCGAGTGATAACAGATAACAAGCTTCCATTCAGCGTTGAATTATAGAAAGTTGGGCTGTTTCCATGAAAACAATAAAAAAATAGTAACTTTATAAATAAAAAAGTTTGCCTCTCCAACCTGCTAAAAGCTCTCCACAAACTTGCTTTAGATAGAAGAATCAAATCTACAAGCCTCCGAGTCCTTCATCCAACTTGGCTCGATTGCAGCTTTTGTGAAATCACAACTGACTTTGAGCGACTGGTACAGCTTTTTAACGATAAGCCTAACATGTGCTTAATATCTCAAATTTAGTTTGAGGCGTGTTTAACAAAAAGACTTCCAGGTCTGTCGCTTTATAAATGATGGATCAGCTCAGCCTTAATTTCCCTCCATCATCATTTTTCTTTACAAAGAATTAAAATCTTGTCAAGAAAATTAATAATTCTCTTATAAAATTAGCCTTTTAATTTCACTCCACACAGCTTTTCATATTCAACCTATTCATCTAAGCAACCACACTACCCTGGGGATGTCATCTGCTCTGAAAATAAAACATTACCAGGAAGAGAGACTTATAGCCATCTTTTGTTTTTGGTATCAGCTGGATCTTCTGGCAGCTTTGAGCCTAACCACTCCTCGTAGAGATTACATTATCTTAGATTTCCAGGGAATGGATTTGCTGCTAAAACTCCTGAAGTAATTTCTACTCTATCAAAGATTAGGGATGTAATGCTGACTCATTTTTCTGTTTTAATTAAACTCCATTCGTGCTGGGCTTCCATGTTCTCATTGCAGCCCCGTTTTTTCTACCATACCATTGTGAGTCATGATTGTGTAAATTGTACCAGTCTTGTTCAGAAGTTGACTAAATAGGAAATGTCTCTCTTTCTTGTCACAGCAAGACTTCTTTGAGCGGCTGTACGTCATGTATACCATTGGCTATGCCGTGTCCTTCAGCTCTCTGCTAGTGGCCATCATGATCATTGGATACTTCCGGTAAGAGAGCAGTTTTTGTTTTTGCTTAAATCATAAACTGCAGTTTGTCAAATCTGAGCTTCTGCAGATAGAAAACACATCAGTGGGAGCCGGACTCCTGCTGCACATCCTGCTTTGGATTCTGAAAATCAGCGGTGGCAGGAACTTAAAAATAACAGCAACATTTAATGCCTTACTGACTTGAACTTTACAGGTTATGAAAATTCCCCAGCAGCCGGGATATTTATATTCTTGTGATGCCTCTGTCAGCTCCCTCGTCAGCTGGAATATTTGTGTCCTGTTGAATCATGTACCGTTTCGAAGCACATCTAGAGGATGCAGAGTTGAGTATACTTCAAATGGCAGAATGCTAATTAGTCTAATTTAGAGTGTGGTGATGGGGACGCTGCCGTCTCACACATCTGCATATGGAAATGTAAGATGTGCTCATTACAGATCTAAACTAAAACACATCCACTCTACTGGACATGTTAGAGATTAGCAGAATAAATAATGACTCATCTGTATGTCCACATGAGACAAGTAGAGATCATTTTATGTCCAGTGTTGACGTTCAGCGGCAGTGCAGCAGTAGATGTAGCAAAACTGACCTTCAGGAGCCAAGATTTTCCCTTAGCAATTATTTTAGAACCACAGCCACATTTTTGAAAGTTTCGACAGTTGATGTAAATTTTTTACTTTGTCCTGTCGTATTGGAGCGTAGATATGAGTACCCAGAACGCAGCTTTTAGAGGCAGAATGGACAGAACAAAAATGTGAGCCGTGTCTGATCAAAGCCCAAAAATAACAAATCCAAAAGAGAACAGAGTCCAAAATGCAAAGTAACTAAAGCCAAGAAGAGCAGAGAGGGAAACATGCAGGGAGGCTGCAAGAAGACAAATACTATAAATACACACAAGGAACAGGTGAGGGGGATTACACAGGCGAGCTCAATCATGATAAACACAAAGTGGAAGTAAAACTAATCAATGCCATGAAGGGAAATCAGGCTGGAAAATAAAAGAGGAAATAGAAAACTACTAGACACAGATACTGAAACATTAAGAGGCACGGGCGAACAGAGAGGGCAAATGTATAAGCGTAGGGAAATGAGACGGACAAACGACAAAGAACGAAAGATTGAAGGAACATAATGGAAAATTTAAGACCCCTGCTTCTCCAGGTCAAGCTGACTGTGTCGAATGAAAGGCTCTGACATGCTGTCATATTCTGTCTCCATGTAATCTTTCAGAAATACCACGTGTTGATGTACGAGTTATCTTTTATTACACAGCGCTCGGACCATGACAGATAGATAACTTGTCTGTATAAATATTCTAGGCTTACAATCCCTCTTGGTCAAAATGCAGGCTACTGGCATGTTGTTTGACCCCTTTGCAAAGGTAAATGAAACTCACAAAGGCATCCTGTGTTCCTCAACAGGAACGGTGCAAGAAAAACTCAAAATAGGAACTGACACTTATTATAAACCAGGAATAAAAAACTGGACAATCATAAACAAACTAAGAACATTAAGAAATCAATCAGAAAATACCAGAAATATGAGAACATACTAAACAATATACACAAGGACACAGGGAGCCATTCTTATCTGGCTATAAGGTTAGCATACAAGTCACATCCTGTGTAGTGTCATGCAAACACATCCCTAATTACCAGATCCAAGAATTCAAAACAAAGTCGTGCACACTTCCCCCCCAGTTCGTCATTCCCTGCATCGCCATCTGCACAGAGCTTGGATCCTGGTAAGCAGTCAATACCATGCCAACTGTTGCAAACAGCCTGGCTGGAAAGACTGAGAATTAGATTTTGGTGGGACTGAGTGTGAAAGGGGCAATCTCTCTGTTGATACGGTGTACTGTTGAAGTTGTAAATACACTGTAAACATCGACTTGTGCCTTCTTCTTGAAAAAGAGATCGGACCGATGGCTAGCTTTAACAAAATATGTGTCAGACTGACTCTGACCAGAACCCCGGCATTTATCCATGACTGCTACAGGTTTTTACATTTGTGATCCAAATAAAGAAAAATAAACGGCCTTGTAGATAAAACACAAATACATAAGAAAGATGTCATCCAAAAGAAATTGTAAATAGTGGTTTTGTAGTAGTTTTTATTTGGATATGTTTCCAAGCTTCTTCTTTTTTTAAATTAAGAAATTAATCTAGAAAAAGTTGCATTTCCTGCGAAAATGCAGTGTGAATGCCGTGTAGTGGAATCTGAAAACAGCAGGAGAACTATCTGCTGAAAACACTTTGTAGAAACTGAAGTCTTTGCTGAAAACTGTTGTATATGAAAGGGAACACTGAACAATGTCAATAAAGCACACTGAGTGCAAGCAGAGAAGACGTGTTACAACAGCCACAGGTAGGATTTGAACCTGCACCACCAGGTCTCACGGCAGCTGCTCATCTCACTGAGCCAAACTAGTTCTTGTCCCAAAGACAGATATGGTGAGAGAAAAAATGTGCAGGGTCCCGAAGAAGCTGAATCGTGCTGAAAAGAGGTGAAGAAGCAGAACTGTATACTCAAAACAGGCAAAAAGGCTGAAATTCTGCTGAAAGAGCAGAAGAGGCTGAAATTGAATTGAAATTGAAAAGAGCGGAACTTGAAGTTTCTGCTGAAAATAGGTGAAGAAAACCGCTGAACAACCTGGAATTTGTGCTGAAAAGAGGTGAAAAAGCTAAAATTTCTGCTGAAAAGGGTGTAGAAGCTGAAATTTGTTCTGAAAAGTGTTAAAAAAGTTAAAGTGTTTACTGAAAAAAATGTTGCGGGATTCGAACCCTCCTGCTCTGAAAACGGCTGCTCATCTCACTGAGCTAAAACACAGCTCAGCCCGGCAAGCTAACCTGGTGATCACACTGCTAATGTGGTCCCATTCATTCAAATGAGTCAAAAATGACATAGAAAGCTTAATATTTCAAAAAGTACAAAAGTTATCAGCACCAAAAGATATAGCTGGCATTAGCAGAATGAGCAGAAGAGCTTAAAATTTGAATGGTGAAAATCGAATGAAAACTGAGGGAGTAGTTAAGCGGCAAAGAAACGGAGCAACTAGAATAAAGTAGAAGATTAAAGTTTACAGAGAAACAGGATCTCAGTCACGGCATTCACACTATTAATGTTGAAAGTGGTGCCAGTGGAGCTTTTCACCTGGACCACATGAAGGACTTTTTCCTGCTGTGCTTCTGCACTCTGGGAATAAAAGTGGTTTGCTGAACATCTGTGGAAACCAGTAAAGGAATGGATACAGAATCTGATCTTCAAAATCACCATCAATGGCCATCAAAGTTATCAATGTCCATCACTGATTAGGGTAAATTAATTTCTTAACTGGTTCGATTTAAATTGATTAGTTCTAACGAATAACAGCTTCTGAATGATGTTATTTTAAGTAACCTTGAAAAGGAAACTGCAGAATCATGGGCTCAGTTATTTTTAGTATTTTTGAAGGCAGGTTATATCCAAGCAACAGGAAGATACCTCTAATGATCCGGTAACTGGAGACGGAGCAGCCAACCACATTCATCTGAAAAAGACTCTGCAAATTATGTGACTTACTGTAACCGCTTGCTTCCTTACATAAGAGGATTCAAACAAGTGTAAAGAAATATTTTAAATTATGAAAATAAAAGCTTTGATGTAGATGAAAACCTCGTTTCACATGGACCTGAGAGAGATGCAAGTAAACAGGAGGCGATCATTTCAAACTGCCTTTGATTTTGCAGTTCCACTGGCAGGGCTCTCCAGATTTATTATGGCGTGTTACGGTAGGTGTAATAATCCCATCAACACTTCAAAAACCTTTTCGAAATCCCTGCCCACCTGAAATTGTATATCACACAAAAACCCACTTACCGGTAACTGAAGACGGCATTTCTTAAGATTTAAAACCTGAGTGTAAGAACTGGTCATTTATGCAACACCAGTGTTACACGTTCCCATTTAGAAGCACCTCTCCTGCCTTCTGCATAAAAATAATCCAGAACAATGAGCTCTGTGCCACCACTGATGGGTATCCTGTGTGTAGGTAAACTTCCTCCTGATTTTAACACCAAGTTTTGACTGGGTTGCTGGATTTGATTGCGAGAGATGGAAGCTGAAAGTTGAGTAAACATCCTCTTACTCTTCAGATGCTAAAGTGCCCGAGGTGATCAGAGATGCATGTTTAAAAAGGGAAACTTCAAACAGAGCACATTTTCTGGATCATTTGCAGCTGAAATTTCAAAGAGCCATCAAGGCTCCGTTTGACAAATACAGGCCTTAAATCCAGTGTTTCTGACTTCTTAAAGTGCCGACAAATCTCTGATTCTGATTCTTTATCAGCCCTCAAAGCTCCCGCTGCTGTCTGCCTCAGTTTTTGTCTCTAGTGATAATGTACACAATGTGTGTTAGAAAATGTAAAGCGCCCTTTAAAGAGCTGCAGTACATTAACCCTATGCAAGCCACAGTCAGCTGTGCTGAGCAGTGCAGTGTTTTCCAGAGTAGGAAAAAACAAAAACACACAGGGATTAATTGTTTTGAAGTATCAGAAACTTCAAGTCAGTTTTGATGTTTGACAGCAGTTTGAATGCAGAGACGAGTCTGCAGTCATTATTTTTAACGTTTTGTGGTCTGAGTGATGATGATGAAATAATACTGCCAATTATAGATGGCAGTATATAGGAGTGAGGACAGTGTTTAACTGATGTAAGGGTTAAACATGGTTATATAAATTGTCATTTACACTTTCATTAAAATAAATAATAAATAATGTTTGTATGGCTGTTGTGTTGTCATATTTGGGTAAAACAGGACAAGATAATGGTCATCAAAAAGTGTCTTAATCCCCCCCCCCAAAACAAACAAACAAACAAACAAACAAACAAACAAACAAACAACAAAACAAAACACAAACACAACAACAACAACAACAACAACAACCTCCTCCCTGCTGTCTTGAAAATAAATTATGGAAAAAACATCTGGTTATTTAAACTTACTTTATACATTTGCAGTTGAAAATTAGGTGGAGACATTATGAATTCATCATACTGTGAAGGCATGAAATATAAACACTACACATGTTTGAAAGGTCCGTCGGAGCGCAGCTGCCTCAGTGTTCTCTACCACAGTTTACCACTTCTTAAAATCCAATTAAGGAAGAATAAAACACATAAGCTGAGCTTCAGTCACACGTTTGAACAAACCCCAACTGTTGAGTAAAATACACCAAACAGTTGCATCATCTTCAACCCTGAAGACAATGACTTGGCCACTCGTTTAACAGGATTTGTTCCCCCCCCTCTCTCTGCCTCATGTTCCTGTACTGCTCATGGTAATTATATGCAGGAACAACAGGAGCAGTGACAGCAACACTAATACTTAAATAGTGAATATTTGTTTGCAAGGTTTTACAGTTTTTAATGCTCTCTGTGTTTACTGCAGCAAAACAGAACAGAGATATAGAAGTGCTGCGCTGGCTTTAACAGAGGCGTACTCTTATCCTTGCACAGTTATATAGCCAGAGACCCGTGCTTACAATGAGACAGTTTGAAAATCCTTGACAGTTTCTTTACCGGCCATACGGTGGAAAAACTCAGTACACCTGTGTGTCACGGTGCTCTGTACGTCGATGATTTACAGGGCAGGCATGTGCTGCATCGACAGTTTCACTCCTCTGACAGAAATAGACAGGATCGCTGAGGATTCGTCCCCTCTGTCAGCTCTGTTTATCTACTATTCACCAGCTCCTCTTCCTGTTGAGGCTGAATTTTGCATAAAACTGGTGGATTATTTTCTGTTAAATGGAACACACATATACACATTCAACTCCTATAGCTGACATTACAGAGATGACACAGGAGGGAAGAAGATCGTTTAAACTCTCCGGCTTTACTGGTGTTTGTGGTCATGAGATCATGTTTTTTATACTTTTTTGCATTTCTACTCAACAGTGCCACAAGGGTAGCCTTGGACTCATTTCATCATTTATGAGAAATGCTTTGCAGTTTTTATAACTTTGTCTTTGCTTGTGTGGCAGGCGTCTTCACTGCACCAGAAACTACATCCACATGCACCTCTTTGTTTCCTTCATGCTACGAGCAGTCAGCATCTTCGTGAAGGACAAAGTTGTGTATTCCAGGGCGGGATTGCAGGACTTGGACTCTGCTCTGCTCGACAGCTTAAAAACTGTTAGCATAGCATCACTGGACAAGTCGCAGTATGTAAGTACCATGCACATTAAATAAGATCCAAATTAGAGATGTGGTACAGTGTTTGTTGGAATGAGTGACTTTAATCAGGATCATCAGGTGTCATTACACAACAAAGCCAGATTTTGTTTCTGTGTATTTCTAAGAATAATAGATTTTACTCACTGGACATATAAAATTCATGCAAATATTTTGCACATTAATATACTTCAGATCTTAATGCAGCCGTTCACACCAACCATATAATTTCACAGGATGAATTTGCAGCATTTATTTTTTGAATTGAACCTGATTTTTCAGATGCAAATAAAAAAAACAGTATTGATTGAATTATAAAAATCCTCAAAAAAAGCACAGTAGGGTAAAATGAATCCAAGAGAAATGACAAACTCAAACATCAGAAAGCGTGCCAAAGGAAGGAAAGCAGTGAGAACTGCTGAAGCGCTCGTAAACAAACAAGCTAACAAAAACAGACGGCAACACATGAATAAATATGCACACAGGGCTGATTGGCTGATGAGGATCAGGTGGAAACAATCATGAAATCACAAAGAAAAAGACCTAATCTCAGTGTCCACCCTCACACACTTGAAGCATCATCCAGCTAAGTCTGTGAGGGCTTAGGGGTGTCCCACGGTCAATTTGTCAAGTGCGCGAGGACCCTTTGGTGGATATTTTGAGCCTTCGTACAAACTTTCTCCAAGTCCAAACGTCTGCAGAGTGGCCTGAGGGAATTACTCACACAATACAGTGCTGGGACATTAAACATGGGTTGCCTCAGAAGAAATCCAGTACAGAAAAAAAAGTTAAGAACAGAAAATCTTTGGGCAAAGCAACCACCCCAAACTTTAAATAAAATCAGAAGAATTTAAAAAATGAGTAACAGGTTATTTGACAATGTCAATGTCACGGCTGTGCAGCAGCCAGGATTTAGACCCAAGACAAGATTAAGCTAACCCCCCCCCCCGAATCACAACTGAGAATAAAATAAGAACAAACTAAGAAGAAAAACACAAAGATGAAACAAAGAAACAAACAGAACTCGAGACCAAAAAACCCAAAACATTGAGCAAAAGTCCCACGATTCAAAGTGAGGTCCTTAACATCAGACAGGAAGTCTTTAAACATGTTGACGTCAAAGCTCTGCTGCTGACCAATCAGGTGATGTCACTGAAGTCAGCAAGGGTTTTGTGTTTTTTTTGATCACTGGGTTGATGTTTGAGACTGAACCAACCAGACAAAGGAAGCAGAACAAGACACTTTCAAAATAAAACACGACAGAGAGCACCACAGAGCACAGGTGGACACCATAACAACAAAAACGTTAATGAAAAATCCCCACAAAATAATCATGAACTGAATGTCGCAGGAGATGTGGATCTGAATATGAAGAAGCGGAACAGTACACAGTGAACACAACGATGGGATGTTTTTAGAGAATTTTCTATGAAACAAAAACAGAGAGAAATGTCTAATAAAATGGAGTCTGATTCAGTTATAACCCCGAGCAGCTTGACGTAGACAGTGACGCCAAAACTTCTAATGGTTTGACGGTACTGCAGATGCATTCAACCTGTGTGACGTTCAGAGGATGGGTTAACAATTCTATTTATTTATCCATTTTTTTTTTTTGCTTGATCCCTCGTAGGTTAATTTGAATGTTGTAAACAGCTCTATTAGTCCTAATTATGATGTTAATAACAGGTGACTTGGGTGTTTATGTGTACCGATAACATGATGACATGAAACAGAACTGCTGGCTGTGTTACAGGTTTTTCTGTCCTTGAAAAGAAGGATGAGACATTGTTAAAGTGAGCAGATGAAAGGTTTTTGTCCCGATTTTTTTTCTTCCTTTCTTTGAAGCCACATGAACACGTAAGCAACGAGAAATGGCATTCACTTTAGATTTGTTTGTTTATTCTGGGTTTTCTTCCATTTGTGTGTATTTAATTTGTGTAAGTCACCAGTTTTAGACTACATTATTATCCCAGCTACAGACCCCTTGTATTTGGTATTTAAATTTCATTTGTCTTGCTGTAGCAAACAAGAGCAGAGCTTGTTTTTCCTGTTTAAAGCTTAGAGTCTTGTAAGCAGCATTGTTAGTATTAATTATGCACAAGAATAATACTACGCCAAGAAAAAACTGGAGATTTAATATATCACTACTTAAAGATGAAGACTTTATTAAATATTTTAAAAAAGAGTGGACTTCATATTTGAACTATAATGACACTCCCGAAACATCAGCTTCTGTTCTATGGGAAGCAGGGAAAGCTGTGATGAGAGGTAAAATAATTTCTTTCTCATCACATAAAAAGAAAAAAGAAAACGAAAATATTCAGGAATTAGAAAAAAACATCAAATCACTAGAAGAAACCTACGCGTCCCACCAAGATCAGGAAACATTGAACAAAATACGCAAAACAAAACTAGAATTAAATGAGATAATTAATAAAAAAACAAAATTCTTAGTACAAAGACTACGCCTACAAAATTATGAACATGGTAATAAATCCGGTCAATTTCTAGCAAACCAGCTAAAAATAAATAAAGAAAAAACAACTATATGTGCTGTTCAAGATTCATCTGGGAACACAATATATGAACCGATACAAATAAACAACATTTTCAGGGATTTCTATAAAACGTTGTATTCACCACAAATAAACCCATCTAAAAAAGAAATTGATCAGTTTTTGGACAACATAACTCTTCCAAAATTATTGGACACTCAAGCAATGGCACTGGATTCACCACTGACACCAGGTGAACTCCAGGAAGCCCTGATAAGTATGCACAATAATAAGGCTCCAGGTCCAGACGGCTTTCCTGCAGAATTCTACAAAGAATTCTGGTCGATTCTAGCACCAGTTTTCTACAGAACGTTGTTGGAAATTAAAGAAAAGGGCAGACTTCCATCAAATATGAATTCTGCAAACATTAATCTCCTGCTAAAACCAGGCAAAGACCCTGTATATCCCTCAAGCTATCGTCCAATATCCCTTATAAATGTAGACCTTAAAATAATCTGCAAAGCTCTCTCAAAGAGACTGGAGAAAATAACCCCCCTCTTAATTCATCCTGACCAAACTGGTTTCATAAAAGGTAGGCACTCATCAACAAATACACGTAGATTACTTAATTTGATAGACTACTCATACAGTAAAAACCTAGAAACTACAATATTCTCTTTAGACGCAGAAAAAGCATTTGACAGAGTTAACTGGAAATTTCTATTTGCAACTTTACACAAATTTGGTTTTGGATCCTCTTTCATAAACTGGTTAAAAATGTTATATAATTCCCCAACAGCTTGTGTTAGAACAAATGACCAGACATCCTCCAGCTTCTGTCTCTTGAGGGGCACCAGGCAGGGATGCCCACTCTCCCCTTCACTATTTGCAATTTTTATTGAACCACTAGCAGCAGCAATTAGACAGAATTCAGTAATTAAGGGCATAAAATGCAAGAACGTGGAACATAAAATCAGCCTTTATGCGGATGATGTGTTACTCTTTCTCCAAAATTCACAAACCAATATCTCTGGGGTGATTGAATTGATAAACTCTTTTGCAAGAATATCAGATTACTCAATTAACTGGTCAAAATCTACAGTCCTACCGATTAATTGCTCCTTCCATAATTCCTCTTCTACACCACTGCAATCGGGAAATATAAAATATTTAGGTATTAATGTTTCTCCCAAGCTTGCAGATCTAACTAAATTAAACCATATCCCACTTTTAAAGAAGGTAGAAGGTGATCTGGTTAGATGGAAATGTCTACCCATATCACTCATGGGAAGGGTTGCCGCTATAAAAATGATGGTCTTACCAAAAATAAATTATTTATTCTCAATGATCCCAACTAAACCGCCACAAGATTGGTTCAGATCTCTAGATTCATGTATGTCCAAATTGCTTTGGAAAAATAAACCCCCACGTATAAGCTTAAAAACACTACAAAAGACCAAGGATAAAGGAGGACTAGAACTGCCTAACTTTCAGCACTACTTCTTAGCCAACAGGCTTCAGTTTATCTCAGGATGGCTAAAACACACCCTCTTAGATGAACCTTGGCTAGATGTAGAACAAGCACTCTGCAATAATCTAGAGATCTCAGACCTACCATTTATCAGCTCAAACATCCAACGACATGAATGCTTTAAAAGCATCAACATCAGCTCTTCTCTGACAGCATGGTGGGAGTTTCTAAAATTGACGGCGTCTTCATTAATCCCATGCAAACGTACACCTATCTGGAACAACCCTGACATATTACAAAACAATAATATGATAAACTTTTCAGATTGGAGTGATAAAGGAATCAAATATTTAGAACATATACTAGAAGGAACAGAATTTATTTCATTTGACGGACTAGTTACACAATATGGGATCAACAAGAAAAGATTTTTAGAATATCAACAAATTAGATCCATAGTAAAAAAGAAATTTAACCTCAGTCAAGTTGAATTACAAACACCACCAAGTGTGGTTCAATTTCTTACTCTTAAAACCCCCAAATTACTATCCAAAATATACAGAATGCTTTCTAAAACAGATGAATCAATATCACTTCCTATTGCAAAATGGGAAGCGGATTTATCAGTTAACTTAGACCTAAACTTCTGGTCTCAGATTTGCTTAAAAACCTTTCATCTAATTAGAAATCCCAGTCTTCAATTAATTCAATACAAAATATTACATAGAGTGCACTATACAGGTCATCGGATGTTCAAGATGGGCTTTACGTCTACCAACAACTGCTCACACTGCCAAACCAATTCACCGGACAATTATATCCACGCTCTTTGGTTCTGCCCACCAGTGCAAAAGTTTTGGCGCGAGATATGTGAAGACTTATCGAAGTGTCTGAAATGTAACATTCCAACTTCCCCCTTAGTGTGTTTGTTGGGCAGCTTAGATAATGTCACTTCAGAAAAGAATATCGCCCATATGGTTTTCACTGCCCTATGCATAGCCAAGAAAACAGTCCTCATGAACTGGAAA